TCTATAACTCCAACAAAATCTAGGAGCTACTTGGCGGAGATGCTATAGTTCTTCAGCTTTGTTACTTTATTCTGCTGCAGATCTAAGATTCAGAAAACAGTTACATAATACTATGCCTACAATTGAACAGGCAAAATTATCTATAGGTTATAACCAAGCAATCTTGTTTCACAGAAACCAGACAGTTTCTCAATTCTGAAGAAGCCAGATTCATTCCAAGAAAACCAAGGAAGTAGCTTAAGATGTGACATTCCAATCATGTGCTGGCATAACATCTGAAAAGCTGAAGCACATTTTACCTGTGTTATGTCATCTGCATCAATCTGCACATCAAATGCAAGTTCCATGTCATGGTCTTGGAGGACTGGGCTTCCCAGAGACTGGTTCCAGCCCAAACCACATAGGACACCTGTGTATCTCGTTCTGCTTTCATCAACCCTGAAATAACAACATTATTAATAGTAAGTGTAAGAAAATATAGCACCTATGCCTGATACATGTTATAACAGTCCTATACAGACATAAGAGTTTGCATCATTACATCATTTCCATAAAAGGAAGAATTATTTCCATTTGCAGAAAGCTTTTTTAACTGGTTCCAGTTAAAATGATGGATGAATTGAGACCTTCCTTATTCCATCATCACGTTCCTAGCCCCACACTGCCCTCTCCCATCTCCAATGAAAGCAGATTTCCAGGGGATGCAAAGAAAAATGAGAGTAGAAGCATTTTTTCCCCAGTGATTCCCAAGTTCCTCCTTAGAAATGTTCACATACCTGAGGTCTATCACAGGAGCAAACAGCATGCTCAGTAATGCTGGGAGACCCGGGATATGAGGCATGAGAGAAGTTTCCTTTAGCATCATTACTGAGCCTATCACCACAAAAAGCAAAGTATTATGATCTTTCAAAACAAAAAAGTCATACAAATAGTTATAGCTTTGATTAGAAATATAGTGTAGGCAGGAAAGATTATACTGCCTACTATAAACCTGGGGTGTCCAACCTTGACAACTTTAAGACTTGCAATTTTAAGACCTATAGATTTCAACTCCCAGAATTCCCCAGTCAGCATAAATACTTGGACAAAGCACTTTTTTACCTGTTGCATTTACAGATATGGAAGCAGCAACCAGTATTTGTTGAAATGCATTCTCAGGAGCATCAACTACAACCACAGAGTTTACGCTCTCCTTCTCTACCAAGATTGTTCTAAAGGATGGGGGAAAATTCAACATGATTTATTATTATGAGAACTTTTAAAAGTCCAAAACTGCAATATTTTGTTGACAGTCAGTTTACTAAAAATTTCCCAAATGTTTAAAAATAAATACTGCTATCACTATTTAAAAATTCTCTACATACAACTATTACATAAACCACAGAAGACAGAAAGCAGAAAATAAATAAAAAGGAGGAGTGCTTCCAGATGGAAGAATTCAAAGAACTACTAAGGGGCGGGGGTGGATGTGTAGGTTTTCTATATTCTATTTCCTTATTGGTTAACTAAAGAGGAAAGGTTAGAACAATGGGAGCGCTGAAATGAATTGAAGATGCTGTTATCTGCAGTTTGCATAACCTTCATAAAATGTTATGAATGGACAGGGTAATAAACAAACACAAAAAAAGTTTGTTCTGCTTTCAGCCTTAGTTCTTAATCAAACATCTGGATAAAAGGGCCATCTGAAGCAGTGTTCTGTATTCTGCAATGGTCCCCCAGATATCTTGGAGATGCCTAAAAGCAAAACATGAAGTTTATAATCTTACCCAGTTGCCCTCAAAGCACTGTAGAACTGCATCTTACCTAAATCTGGAAATTCTGGTCATACTGCTGAATTTTAGGTTGTAGGCATTGAAGGGGCCAAGTAGTGTGACCTTTTGAAAAGAGAGAGAAAATGGGATTAAGAAGACATCTGCAACATTTCAGTTTGTTAATTTTGGGAGTTGTCTTTACTACATTAAGTGAAATTCAATCTTTCATTTTTTGTCTTGGTTTCCTAGATAACATATACACCACAAAAAACTCGGAAGAGGAACCAAAACAGCTTGTACTAGCATTGTAAACTGTGGTTTATAGGATTAGCATGCAGCCCAAAAGGAGGCAGAAAGCTCTTGACTTAAACAAAATATAAATAATATAATGCTTGGCCATTCTTTGAAGATACAAAAATCTTGCACACATGTATTTTCTCTTCTCTTTGGTCACTTCCAAAAAGGGATTATTTAAATAACATGTGAAACCTAAACTGCAACTAACCTCAATCAGGGTATTTTGAAACAAATGTCTCTTAATTCAAAATGTAAAGTTGGTTGTTGCAACAAATTGTAAGNGGAGCCCTTTTTGCTGGCAGAGCACTCAGGCACCACAGGCGCCTCTGACACATGACATCAAGCTGGCCACGCCCACCCTGGCCTCACCCATCCCAGTTTCCCAAGGTCAAATACCACCCTGATGCGGCCCTCAATGAAATCGAGTTTGACAATAATCTTACTTTCAACAATTTGCAATATACTAACAACTTGCCTTCACAAATGGTCCATTAAACTGCAAATAATCATACTCCCTTGGAACTATGTGACCTATTGTTCCAATGTATTTTGGGCATTTCAGATTGGGGGTTAAATTACAAAATATTGTATGATTTCCAAACACCAAACTTTTCCACTAATAGCAATTTTCAATTTTGCAACTGCAGACACAAGACCTAGTTCTCTGCACTTCTGATGATTCAGATTATTTCTGACTTTACTGCCCATCAATATTATACGGTATACATCAATTAAATGAAACTACGCTTAACTGGTATTTTTAATGGTTTGCCATTAAAAGGTCTTTAGAAATTTGTAATCTGCAAGTAGCCTAGGATAGAGCTCAAGAATATACCCACATTCCTGTTTACATAAAGGCAGGCATCAATTAGATGCAGGCAATCTGCCAAGGAAGCTGTTAAAACATTTGGAAGGCAAACTGTTATTTCCCCTTCAGGGAATGAATGTTAATGTTTTAAAATGTAGTATTTTATAAGCTAGCGCATACATAGGGAAAACTGAACAATCAATCAATTTTAAACAGATTTAAATGCATAGTGTGGACATCCCCAAACAGTTGTTAAGTCTGAGCTGCTTTCCTGATTCAAAAACTCAAGAAAAAGCAGCTTGAAAGACCAGAATTGGCATCCAGCACTCTCTAGTGAGGCCCTGGTAATCTAAGTGGGTAAAGTCAAATGTTTGAAACTTTTTAAAAAAATATGTCAAAAATTTAGGAATTTTAAGAATCAAACAGGTATCTTAAGACTGGCAGAAACTTGATACCATCACTCATTTTTTCCCCAAAGAGGGAGGCTGAAATTAGGGATAATTCCGCCTCTTAAGCTCCACAAGTCCCCAAAATAGAAGAGAAAAAAAATGGCAATCATTTCAGCCCATTTAAATAACATCACAATTTCATTAGTGAATTTCCCTATCATATTACCAAATACATTTGTTTTCCTTTTCCAAGAGTAGCATAGACATTCAGAAAGTTTTCTTATGTCATCATTATTTTTACTAGCCTTTTTTAACTCAAAAAAAGAAACCCAAATAAAAACTTACTACAAACTCCTAATTTTTAGGAGCTGAATAATAAATCGGAAATGGATCAGCTTCACCCGATTACCTCAGAACAGAGGCCCATTTATAAAACTGTTTGTAGTTTCTATAACTCCAACAAAATCTAGGAGCTACTTGGCGGAGATGCTATAGTTCTTCAGCTTTGTTACCTTATTCTGCTGCAGATCTAAGATTCAGAAAACAGTTACATAATACTATGCCTACAATTGAACAGGCAAAATTATCTATAGGTTATAACCAAGCAATCTTGTTTCACAGAAACCAGACAGTTTCTCAATTCTGAAGAAGCCAGATTCATTCCAAGAAAACCAAGGAAGTAGCTTAAGATGTGACATTCCAATCATGTGCTGGCATAACATCTGAAAAGCTGAAGCACATTTTACCTGTGTTATGTCATCTGCATCAATCTGCACATCAAATGCAAGTTCCATGTCATGGTCTTGGAGGACTGGGCTTCCCAGAGACTGGTTCCAGCCCAAACCACATAGGACACCTGTGTATCTCGTTCTGCTTTCATCAACCCTGAAATAACAACATTATTAATAGTAAGTGTAAGAAAATATAGCACCTATGCCTGATACATGTTATAACAGTCCTATACAGACATAAGAGTTTGCATCATTACATCATTTCCATAAAAGGAAGAATTCTTTCCATTTGCAGAAAGCTTTTTTAACTGGTTCCAGTTAAAATGATGGATGAATTGAGACCTTCCTTATTCCATCATCACGTTCCTAGCCCCACACTGCCC